CAACACAGTTTGAACAGCGGTATTCTGAACCCAGCCCTTTACTTGGAGCCAGAAGTACCGGTTACGCTACAAGTGTTTAAATTTGACAAAAGCCGATAGCATACCGTAAGTCAATCGTTCGCTTACTGGGCAGTAACTGCTGACTAAATTTCTGTTAATATCTCAGAGCTTTCGACAGGAGGAATTTCACTGCAAACTTAAGGAGGAAAATGGACACACAGCAACCGTGCAACCCACCGTTATTGACAACAAATGACTAGGAAAGTTTGCAATTTACCGACGCTCTGCCGTAGATGGGGAGGTAGAGTGCGCGCCGGATGACAATATAGTTTTCCGGAACCCCGTTCTTCAGCAAGCAAAGTCAGAGCGCAGGTCGATCCATCGAGTTGAATATTGTACGGATGTCTAAGAGTGCAAAGATGAGAGGCCTCCAGGTAGAGGTAGCGGTGTTCGCGAATTTGGCGGAGCGTGAAACTTTGATCTAAACCCCAACCAGCAGGACAACGACCAACCTGTTCTTCACGAATTGGGAATAGTCTGCGAAATACAGTGGATGCCAAAAGCTTGGAGACAACAGTAAATGGACTGATTCCTCGGTGATTGGAGCATGAATTGTGAGCAACATATTTAGAAATCGAGACAACGAGGTTGGATGGTCAGTAATTAATGCGTTATCATACTTTACCAGCTCCGGAGAAAGCCCATCTGAGGCGACAGCTTTGAATCGCTTCAGTTTTCGAATCCCAACATTAAACCTCTGGTTTGCTGTGTGGATCAAGTGTGACAACTTAATACAGACAGCTGAGTTCACAGGACATACAACTGGACTGTGAATGAAAATGTGTGGTTCATCGATTTAAGCGCCTCCATAAGTTAGCGATCGGTGAGCTAGCTGCCCCACACATAGTCTCACTGGCACTGGGTTTTCTGTGACCGGTAAATCGTATGGGCTGGAAAACTTCACGGGTGCCGCCAGAGGGAGCAGTCGTCTCCAGTTCAGAAGCACGCTGAGACCACCAGTCTTTAAGATCGCCACGTGGGCTTAGTTTAAGCTGCTGACTGACAAAAGGACGGATTTCATTATGATCGGCCTCTAATGAAATATTTCTAGGACCGTCTAACGGAGTGTGATTGGTGACTAAGGCCTTCATAAGATAGTAAGTAAGACCTCATATTCATCGTCCGAAGCAGGATACTGAATATTTGCAGGAAAGCGGCAGAAAGGGATGCACCTGTGTAGCTGCATCTAGAATCCCTCAGGCACGCGAGCCAGTTGTGTTGGCGAACATTCGCGATATTGCATGTTCGTAGAGTGTGTCAAGGAATTCCCTGAATTTCTGCACCGACTTGGCTTCGACTACGTGCGGCGGCAAGTTGTTCTACGTATTTACTATTGTCCGTTCGAAGCCGAGATAGTGAGCGACCCGCTTCAAATTCGGTACTACCAACTTGTACTGTTCTCCTGGCCGATCTTCGTACTAATAGCCAAAATAGTGATGCAGACGCTAGAACGGATGGTACTCCCAAGTGCGAAGCCAAAACCTTGGGTCCGCTACCTAGACGACACTCGTCATCCTCAAGCGTTCCAAATTAGAGGAGATACACGGGCTAATCAACAGTATGTTCGACGGTATCCAATTCATCAAGGAAGATGAGAACAATAGGCAATTATCATTATTAGACGTTCTCGTACGAAGGACTGCTGCTGGATCACTGGAAACACGAGTTATCAAAAAGCAACACATGGGCCAGATCCTCAAGCAGGACAACATTCATCCGGCAGTCGAAAAGCGCAGCTCTGTGCTAACCATTTTCAATCGAGCACAGAAACATTGTAACATGTTACAGCTGAGGCAGGTGGAGAACCACCATCTGTTCAGCCTATTCTAACGGTATTCGTACCCAAAAGGGTTCATACCGCACTGCTTGGCCTCCAATAAGACGAGAAGATGCCTAGCAAATGCAACCTTTGAAAAGCGAGCCACGTTGCCATACCTCAACGGAATCGCTAAATTAGCAGCGCGACTTTTGCTGCTTCTTTTAGTAAAGATGACTCGCCAACCAACAGACAATTCGAAATCAACTCTTCAAAATGAAAGATAAACGGAACAGGTAAGAAACGTATTGCATAATCCACGGGACCTGTTTTTGATATTGTGGCAAATACGGCGTAGGACAAGTAGAAAAAAGAGAGAACTCCTCGCTGTCCTTGCACATGGATGTTAAATCCATCAACTCCACCCGGAGCACATCGAAATCCTCGTAACAGCCACAAGCGCATGAGTTTGTTGAAGCCTAGTACTCAAAACAGAATTCAAACAATAAGCACACGGATCTCGAAATCACTTACGAGGCTCTACGAAACAGGCCCTTGAAGTCGCACTGACGATGTTGCCTAGCCTGGCAACGAAACATCTGCAAACCAATCATACAGCTAACACAGCCGTGCAAAATCCACCTCCATGTGTGTTTCTTGGCGTGCTCAGATGGAGCAGTGTCCTCGACAGGAGGTAAGCACTAAGCTATAATATCAGGTGCGTCATGATAGGGTCGATTTGTACTTGGTGATAAGACGGGATGCACGGATTTTCGTACTGCATACCTCGTAAAGTGGGGATGAGCTTGATGACCACATGCTGTACCTGCCCAGTACTTTGTACCTCGCCCTGGGTGATATGACAGTAAGTAGGTGATCCGTACTCTAGCATTGGTCGGATGTTTAAGAAGAAGAGTCGAGTGGCAATTTGTTCGGACCAAATACTGAAGCAACACTTGAGCGCCCAAAGCATACGAAGTCCGCTTTGGCCAAGTCTGTTCGTGTGGTCCACGGACTTTAGGTTGCAGCGTGAGTGTACACCGAGGTTTTTCACGAATGGTGTAGGATGCAACGGTTAACGGCACACTGTAAATCCGACCGCGTCCACCTTAACCAAGGCCTGCGAATTGCGACGCGAGTTTATCGGAATCTTGTCTTCTACAGACCCCATAATGAGGTAGTCAAAGTCCCCCTGAAGCAAGTCACATTCATCGGGCGCAGAAATTACCCTCCACACCTCTAAGTCGTCAGCAAATAGCGCACAAAGGGGAGGAGCACTTGAAGTACATCCTTTAAATGGATTGGGAACGAAATGAGCCCAGTACCGTGCCCTGAGACACACTACTGATCGAGCAATACCGGTCGGTCGAATGGTTGTAGACCTGGACTCTCCACCCTCGGCCAACAAGGAAGTTCTCGATTCCTTGGTTCAGCGAACCGTCAACAACCCAAACCTCGTGATTCACCTAGTTAAACGTCATATTAAAGGCAGTGTGAATGACGTCAGCAGCGTTCCCCTGGTCCAGTACTTGCGACCATTCGTGCCTCGGCACGAGTAGGTTAATGCCGCATTAGCTACTTTTCATGAAACCGTGCTATGTGGACGTCAGTAGGCTTTTCGACTCGAGAAGCTACATATAAACCTTAGGTACGATTTTCTGTAGGCTCGTAGCTAAAGCAGCGGTCAAGTAAACCGACCGGTAGTTATCCACTTTGTTTGACGCACCACCTTTCGGTGCTAATTTTAGGACCGAACATTTCCAGTTGCTCGGTACTTAACCCGTGAACAGTGACCTGCTGAACAGCTCAGTTACGCAGAGCAAGATAAGGGTCAATATTAGCTTTAGGATCAGTGGGTGGATTTCGTCAGGCTCGGAAGGCGTGGTCCCGTCAAGGGTGACCAGCAGCTTGTGTAAATCTTCAATGTACTATTCAGGTTGTCTAGTTCAGTAGGAGCGTTACCCGTCGAACTCGGTACAGACACCTGGTTAATTGCAAATACGGAAACGAAATGCGTCACTAATGCCGACGCTCAATCCGTACTCGAGGTTAAGGCCTGTCCATATGAACCCTCCAACACTGGCACATTGCCTGCAGGCCTCAAGCATCGCTCTTGGGAGCCACCGTTGCTCCGGCCGAAAACTGCGCTTCGAAGTTTTGGCGCCTTTGCGTTTTCGCGTTGTTGCAGAGATTCCGCTGTCTTTTTTAAGCGTCTTACTCAGAGCCAGACAAGACAACTTTGTTCTAGAATCTGTGTCATCGCTCAGTCAATTTGCTATACTCCTAGTCGAACCAATTTGATTTGACTGGTCCAACTTCCAAATACTTTAGGCGCAAGAATCGGACGCACAACTAATTTTGCCTCTCCTTAATCATAGGCCAACTGGCTTCAGTAGATCCATGCTTTGGTAACGACCAGTCCATCGGGTTCGTCGTTTGACTGAGGCTATTAAAACCCATCTTCCAATAGTCGAAGGCTGGCTCTAGCGGAGTACGGTAACGGTAACTCCAAGCTCGCTATGGTTATCGCATTCTGCAGGAATGTCCATTGTTCAACATGCCTTGTGGTAGATCGCGGCTCGGTGATTTTGCCAAGAAATTCTGGTAGCTCCGCTAATAGAGGAATAAACTAGCATGTTTGTGTTAACCCTACGTGGGCTCGTTTTCGGGAACTATTCCAATCTCATACAGTTGCTCACACAGACACGCGCGTGATCCGAGTCCGGGAAAGGGGACAAATTGATCTATAATCCCATACACTGTTTCATCATCTGAAACTGATTGCGGTGTGATCCATTCAAGATCATACTTGCGTTGGTGAAAGAGAACGCTTTTTGCAGGACATCCACCTACGTCTCAAGTTAGTGCTCGACAAAACCGATTGTTGCCTTCACACAATTGGAGAAGTGAATAAGAGGTATCGAAAGCTGTTGCTGTTAACTGAAATAATCGGTTGTATTTCACAAACTACTTGTCGAACATGCGTCCGAAAACACTTGTTTGTATCCGGCGTTGAAATTCCGCAGCAGTGAGCCACAGTGTAGAGCCGTTTCAGCCTAAGCCTTGGTAGGTAGTCGCCAAACAGAGACCAGCGTAGCCAAGCACACCTGAGTGTGACTATTTCCCTTTATTTCCGGAAGGTGTTAGCAGACTAATGATGGGCCCAAGACCTTGACCTTGAGCACACGTGAAATTTCTCAGCGTGGTCAACCCATCGATCATGGGTGTTCGAATGGCCACGTGCTTTTGGATATGACGCCAACAAAATGTCCTGACATTTGCCCAGTATTTCAGCTTTTACTATCAATCTACTCAAGATGGACCACAGCTGTAGGAAGATGGGCAAACCCGAAAGGCTGGTAAGGCCAGGGAAGAACAACACGCAGTCTCCAGGCGGGTGTGGGAGCGTTATGCAAAAGTATCACTTCACAGAATCATCTAGTTCACGTGGAGACCTTGTGCATCCTCCGGCCAAACTGCTACCACCATTTCCACCTCAATCGCCCACACGGTTGTCACAGGTGGAGCAGACATTCCAATCAGTCGTCGGGCCATTTTCGCATCTGAATATTCCCCAGAGGGAAAGATGTAAGTTACCCAGCCTTGATTACTCTAAAGCTGACTTAATGGGACGCGCTGTCATCAAAGATAGATCCACAGTACAGCGAGGAAAACGACGCAGGGCTTCCGTAGATGTCTATGTCGAGACCACGCCCCTACCACACTTCCGTTGTTTACTGTGCGGTCTGGATTGTGTCCGAGGAGACTTGTTGTACGCCCATTTGCTGATTCTGAGACATGACTTTGCCAAACGTTATGGTCTAGACGGCAGCATAGTGCGAAATGAGGAGCAAATCAGTGTATGGACAGCCCGATTGACGTGCTGCCGCTGTGGTCGACGCTGGGAATCTGAAGTAGAATGTTTGTCAGCCAACCAGCACGGCTGTGTTCAACAAAAGGCGGCCTATCTGAGCGCATTTCTCGCCCCAAACGATGTGGTTAAACAGGGTCTACCGTTTCTGTGCTTGTTCTGTTGCACAGAGCCCAACCGACCAAATCAGCCTTCGGTTCGTTGTGGCCGTGGTACTACAGGTTTCTCAAAGCCACAGCCACTGAAGTTGCATGAGAGCGCTATGAGATTTCGTTCTAAGCTTCATTTGGTCGTACACATTCTGTGTCGACACGCCGCCCAACGAAAGTCAGGTACATGTGCAGAATGTCCACTTATGCAATTAAACCTACCGGCAGAAGAAGAGGGTGGCTCGGAACGGTCCTTTTGGTATCCTGAAGAAGACGAGGTGATTCGTCTGGGTGAAAGGGTTGCCCGCTATCGACGGACAAAGGAACACAAGCAGCTTCAGTCCCAAGATGACACACTGACAGCAAGCTCGGAATCAGAAACAGATACCTTGTCTCCATGTCAAAACAGTGACAATTCCATTCTGAAAAGACAAGGTCTCCAAGCCTTGGAAAAGCACATTGACGAGTATCACCTACCTAACTTCGAAGTACTCATGTGGTACATGTTACACTCCATGCCTACCAGGGCGAATAGTTCCACCGCACGCAAACACGCCATGTACAGTTGTCCGATTTGTGACTTGAACAACTATCGCATGTTGCCGCACATTTCAGCCATGATCGGTGAAGATATGAGCAAATCCGTGGGTGACCTGCCTGCAAAGCATTGCCACATCACAAGCAACGCCATGCTGCAGGCCCATGTGGCATGCTACCATGCTGGAGCGAAGGAGCTGGACTCATTGTTGGAGCTGTGTCAAGTGTGCGAGACTACTGATTTCATGAGACTGTCGTCGCACGCATTTTCTGAAAGGGCAACACAAACCGTGCAGGGCTCGCTGCGGCACCTTACGCGTGCTGGTCATGTGGCTCGTCTCTTGAACCAATTTAACCAATGCGTTAGTCAAGGTCGTTTGGACATGGAGAGCTATCATGCAAGTCTGGATTGGTCGACTGTGTGTCTCTTCTGTTGGCATCGATATGCAATTCACTTAGGCGATTCAATGACGAATTTACTGGCCCAGTGCCGCCTACAAACTCATTTGGTTGTGCAACATGGGGCGCTAAGTTACGAGTCTTCCTATAAGTCTTGCGATGTGACCTTGAATGGGGTTCGCCCTTGTGGGTGGTGTGGAGAGACAATGCGTTTATTTGGCGAAGAAGGTTAGTCTTCTATATTCGTAATAGGTACAACTGAACATTAAGCTCTACAAGCAATACAATGAGGCGATATAAACATTTCAGTGTCACCTTCTAAGCTCTTGTTAGGAATCTGAATTTCTTAGAATTGTTTGCAAACTTACGGTTGGTAACCGAGTTGGGATAAGCCATGCGGTTATCAGCATCTTCAAATAGGTCAGGAAAAGATCGAGAACATAATATCCCAGATGGCTTCAATAATCAATGCACCGTTTAAAGTGGCACTTTGACCTTCGATAACCCTTCTACTTGCATCCTAGTGGTTGCAATTATTTTAATTAAACAGTAACTAAATAAATTGCATATTCCTCGACGATGCGAGCTGTTCCCTAGGAGGAACAGCTCAAAAATTGTTACACCTCACTCATGCTGTTGCAGCAATAATTTAAAAAGATTTAGAAATATAGGCACTAACCACAAGTTTAGAAAAGTTCATCAAAATTACTTTTTTGGTATTTTCCCACCTGCCGATGAACCATGGTTCTCCACAACCACATGAAAGTTGTTTTGGAAGGGCAAAGAACGAAATGAGATTAAAGAGGCTGTGGTCCAAAGTTGTGTTCTTGTTGTTCGTAATTTAGTCAGTCACCATGGATACCGTACTCGAAACATTTGTCCATAGATTGTGATGTCCCGAACGTACTAATCACGTTGTGGACGGTTGACTGCCTAATAATTGCAAACTTAAAATTACGCAGTCCACATCATATTCAAATACCTCATGGAAGTTTGTTCCAAAGCTTTGAGTAGTGGGTTAGAAAAAGTAAGGTTATCTGATTCTCGTAGTAAATTTTGGAATTGTGATCTCCATCTCTTTGTTGCGGATCGGGTATCTGCTGAAAGCCGCTACCAGAACTAGATAATTGATGGCTTATGATTCTGTATAGAATACATCGGTTCCGTTTCATTCTCAGATGCCAGATTGAATCAAATGCATGCTTGTCACAATGCTCTCTGTATATCCTCTTTAAGGAATAAGCATATAGTTTTTTCATGAAGCGTCGCTTGACCCTCTCGAGATTATAACGGTTAGATATTCGTAGATTCGATTGGACCAATGAGCCAACATTCCATACAAGACAATACATGTTTTGTACAGCCAGAGGTGAGATTTTGTGAGACAAAAATGATGGCATATATATCCGATGCTCTTTGTGGTCTTCGAAACTTGAAAGTCACAATGTTCAAAAAAGTTGTGGGTAGCAGAATATTGCACACCCAAGTCGCAAAATGTCCTGCATTGCGAAATGTATCTGTCTTGTAGTAATAGACTGGCGGTGCTTGACATTTGTACGAAAATATATTACGCTTGTCAACGGCAAATGACATTTGTCACCATTGGCACCAGGACTCTAGTGCAGATAGGTCATCCTGAATGAGACATATGGCTGCCCGGGTATTTGCACGTTCTTGTGAGCAGACAACTTTCATGTTATCAGCACACAGAAAAGTAGCATCATCTTAGTAGTGGGAATATATCGTTAGCATATACGAGAAAAGGAAGTGGACCAAGAACACTAGAATTACTCCACTGGTGACTGCTTTCGGTTTATCGAAATTGTCACCTAACTGCACCATCTGCTGCCTACCAACTAGATATGAGAACAGTCAGAAAAACATTGGCCCTCCAATGCCTATGACCTTCAATCGGTTGAAGCACTCTATCAAAGACTTTTTGCATGTCCAGGAACAAGATTACAACACTGTTTCTGCTGTCCATGGCAGCCGTTGTGTGGTCAAAAAGTGCCTGGCACGTTGCGCAGGATCCACCTTGCTGCGACTTGTTTTTGATGTTTACTTTGTTCAAGAAGATCAGTAGCTTATCTTTTACTATTCTTTCCATTATTCTGCACATGGTGGGTGTGTGATTGATTGGACGAAAGCTTTATTCTAGTGGGCGACCCCAGTTTTATGTCGCGGAATAATGATGGAAGTCTTCCACTGAAGATGATACACTCCGCTTTTAAAAGTGAACACAGATGTTAAACAAAAGCAGAGGCAAGCCGTTACCACTACGTTTTTGTTAAACAAGGGGATTTTATCAAACCCTGTGCAAATTTTGGAGCATAAGCAGGAGACTTCACCAGTGATTTGCGCTTTGCATAGGCTTTTATCATTGAGGGCTACACCAATCATGCAGTGCTTCACTTATTCTGATGGGACCTTTGTGTCAGAGGTGAATCGTTGCAAACAAACTATACCAACCGGTTGAATATTGGGTTTTGGAGTACCCGTCTTGGTCTTGGACTACAACACGCGATCGCTGTCTCGTTTGACTTTGACGTCAGCCTCTACCAATACGATCACTGGGACATCACCGAAGTGGAAGGTTTCGGTGTAGCTCTCTTCCATCACTGCACTCCACGACGCACCGGTTTCATCCTGGTCTGGACCCATCAGGTAGAGATAACCGAGCTGGGAGTGCAACTCGGCGTATAGTGCTTGGCGGTTATCGTCATGATCACCAGGTCTTGGAGCTCCGCGAGCAGTGCTTGACACAGAGGTTAGTTGATTTTCGGGATTGGAAGCACCCGCCGTGTGTCTTAGATTGCGACACGCAATCTCAATCATGGCCTCGGTTTATTTTGAAGTCAGCCTCTACCATTCCAAACACTGGGACTGGTTGTTTTTGAATCCTTTCGAAATCACACTCCGGTAATCATTTGGTTGAACTATCCTGTTTTTTCTGCATCCTAGCTAAAGATGGTAGCAAAGGCCTCAACTTGCACTGAGTGCAAGTGCCATCATCAGTACTAGCAACCCTACTATTTTTTAACCCAAAATGGCTTGCATAAGAATTGATGGTCTTTCTCGTCGACCATGGCGTTAGTCTTCAGTTGCGAGGTCCTCGTTTCCAATCTCAACCGGATCATTCTACCTTAGGAGCGCAGAGGAGGACGATACCTGTTGTACAGTGCATGATTGGGAATAGATAACATCAACCTCTCTTCTGTTTCAAGAACGACTTTAATTCTCCGAGTGATTTAGAACTGTTGCATCGTGAATTAGTGGTACGGTTGCCGCCGGGGATACATGATTGACTACTGATGGCAGGGATACGCTTTTCCCTGGCATCTCGGTAATTTGGGGACAGACGCTTGGAGCGTATAACCGGACATTTAGCAGCTCAGGTATCCGTTAGTTGCTTTTTGACAGAAAACAGTGGAGGAAGAATGATACCAAGGCCGGCTCGTAGCCTTGTCACAAGACTGCCTTGTACTCCGAGGGCGCAAGTTCGTGCCTGTATAGGGACAGGATGATCCTCAAAGTATCCTTAGACCGCGTGTGACTCTGATGGTTGCGCGATGGTTAATCATTGATACTACGTACTAGAGTGCTGCTATGCCTTTTTATAATATCAAGGATAGAAATCTTCTCACGCTATAGTTTGTCCATGTACTCCCCAAATGCCATTAACTGGCTGCTAAAATTAACGGTACAGTTGCTGTACAGCACTCAGTCGAACAGTACTGGTTACCATGAAATAGATTAATGGGAGCCCAAATGCTGCAATCGACTACTGTGTTATCTTCAGAGGACGGGCTCGCGGTACATCAGCATCTTGTGGTCATAGACCATGCATAGCAGGATAATAGTTGTGCTCCTCTTACATGCGTGTGTTGTGCTTGATTATATATATATATATATATATATATATATATATATATATATATATATATATATATATATATATATATATATATATATATTCGCTCGGAAGACACGAAACGACTGTCAGTTTTAGACAATCGTTGTCTGTGTAGGATTGCTCGTGTGTAATAACAGCATCAAGTGGGCAACACAGATGTCCGAGAGCGAGCGTTTGGAGCCAACAGCTCATGTCTCCAAAATGTTATTCCCCGACACCGCATGCGTTGACTCGGCCACGTATTGCGCCTGCTAGCCTATCGCCTTCCTCGTAGAGCGTAATTTGCCCTCCCCGGAAGTGACTGCAAAAAGTGCCTCGGCGGACAACCAGTAACGTGGAGAAGGAGCATGAAGAAGACAACCTTCCAGGATGTGGGAAACACGACTCAGGCCTCCAGTCGTTAGAAATGCTGGAAGTGATGGCGCGCAATAAACATCTTTGGTGACAGTGTTGTTAAACCGTATTATTATTAGTTAATCTCTAATGGAACATAAATCTCCATAGCACAAGTATCCAAAACGGTGTGTCTAAAACCCCCAAAATCGTTTTTCTTTCATGTTCTATATCGTGTCACACTTTTTCGCCATGGTTCAGATGGCGCATTGTCTGTAGTGACGAGATCCTGACAGATCGTCGACACGCCACTATTAACGTTGTACTGCAGGCTCATGTCCCTGACGCCTCGTCGTGGCGACCGCTGGGTGGAAGTTGGGTTACACCCTTCTTCTAGTTAAGATACTGTTAGGAGGGGCACCTCCCACGACACCATGGTCAAGGGTTCACCTTGATTTCGCAGGATCAATCAAAGGACAGCACTACTTACTTATCATCGATGCACACAGCAAATGACCCGAGATCCTCAAACTGTCGAGCACATCAACGTCGGCTACGATTACAGTCCTCAGGGAAGTATTCAGTCGGTCTGGTTTTCCCAAAAACAGTAGTATCCGACAATGGACCCCAATTTACCACTTCACATTTTGCTGAATTCTGTGGGTGCACGGCATACAGCATTTGCGCTACCTTCTTATCACCCACAGTCAAATGGACAAGCTGAACGATTTGTGGATACTTTCAAGAGCGCTCTGCTCAAAGCGGAAGGAGACGGACCAATCCAAAAGGTCCTACAAACTTTTCCGTTAACGTACAGGATTACGCCTAATCCACCGACGCCTGAAGGGAACTTCCCAGCAGAAGTACTCCTGCTCAGAAAGCCTCGAACGAAATGTGATCTAATAAGGCCGTCGGATAGACCCAATGCCGAAAGAAACTGGATAACCGAGCACCAGTACAACCGAAGGCATCGCGCTATACCATGACACTTCGAAGTTGAGCAGAAAGTGTTGACAAAAGACTATCAGAACACCCAAATCTCTTGGACCCCTGGAATGGTTGTAAAAAGATATGGCCATGCCTGTTTTGAAGTGGCCGTACGCGATGACAAATGGATTGGCAACATTAACCAACTCAGGAGTTACATGTCATTTGACAGAAGAGAAAATGTCCTAACTACACCTCTTGAATTACTTCTGGACGAGTTCAAACTACCAAAAACAGAGACTACTCAGCAATATAAGCGTATCAATCCAACAACCTCTCTTTCACCCGATTGTCGACTCAGAAGATGGCCCGATCGTTGCCGAGTTCCTGTCGCGCCGCTCTAGTTTACTCACAGGCTGAAATCAAATGACAGTGGACTTCTAACGGGGAGGTGTTAGGAGGGGCATCTCCTAACGAATGGATCAGCAAACCCAACGGAATTGCATGGCTGAACGCTAAACGCGTGCGTCCATCTGCCGTAATTATTGATTGTTAATTTGGATTCTGTATTCATGTGACCTCGAGTGCCTCGCACGTCCTGTTGCGGCATTTTTGAGACTAACTGTTATGCAAATAAGCATCTTATTACACAGCTCTGTTTTTCTGTTTTCGTCTGGCTTAACAGATACAAGACACAATTCCGCGTGAGTCGGTTCACTGACTAACGTCACTCCGCCCGCTGCCATTCGGGTGTATAATTTATCGCAAGCTTTAGCTGACGACCCGAGTCATTTTTCTGCCAGGTGTGGACGCCCTGACAGTATCCTAGTCTAACCCACCAAATGTGAATCACACCAATAATAATAAACCCAAGCCGCATCGGTTGTCACTCAGTACCCTTAGGAAAAGTCGTTTTATCTGCTGTATACAGCGGGATGGATATGCAAAAACACGCTACCGCTGGCGCCTCCTTTCTTCTCCCGTACACATACTGCCTGTCCCCATTTCAACTAACTCACCACTTCCTCCAATCTAAGTCGTCACCACCCATACAATTGACCGCCAACGCAATCGTATGCCTCAACGCAAGGCACTCAGCATCGGGTGCTGGCACGTGCGCACTCTGCTTGACCAGAATACGAGCGAGCGTCCCTATGGGAGGCACGGCACTGGTCGCGGTGGGACTGACGCCCTATAACATCGAGGTTGTGACGCTCAGTGTGCCTCGTCTCGCTGAGCAAGGTAACTTGCATGAAGCTGGTGCCGGCTATACGTTCTACTGGGTGAGCAACGTTACCTCAGCACCGTGTTAACATGGGGTCGGGTTTATACTAGCCGATCGCCTAAATGGCCACCTAGTGAGCGAAGCAACAAGCATCAGCGCGTGACTGATAACTGTTAGCCTACAACTCGGAAGTGATAAGTTGGCCAGTTATATAATCACGTACGGTCCAACCATGTCTTATCCTGATGACACGAGTGATCAGTTCTACACTCAGTTACCCTCCGTGATACGATATGCGCCGAGGGACGAGCGACTATTTCTGCCAGGTGATTGCAACGCATACCTTGGTCCTTATGCGTTGGCGTGGACGGATATCATCGGTCCTCATGGCATTAGTTCAGCGAATGCGAACGGTAACGGCTGCTCTCGAGGTGTGTCACTCACAACCGGACGATCACAAACACTCGGTTTGCACTGAGTGCGAGTGATATAGCAACATGGACGCACCCACGGAGTGGTCACGCTCACCTGCTGGACTATGTCCTCGTATGTCGGCGTGACATACGTGAAGTGTGCATGACACGTGTGCTGCATGGAGTTCAGTGTTGCACTGACCACAAATTGGTGCGGACCAAACTGCGCATCTACGTGCGGAAAACGACGTACTGTGTGTCTGTCGTGAACCGGAGGCGTATAACATTCTCTTCCTCGGTACTGTGGAGAAGCGTATTGATTTGCAGAAGGCGATAGCTGCACGCCTGTGTGATATGGAATGCATAGCCACAGTGGACGACCTGTGGCACCACATTCGCAACCAGGTGACAGCTGCTGCCGAGGAGACCAACTGGCGCGCAAACTGCAAGCAGCCTGATTGGTTTGCTGAGAACAATGCGATGATTAGCGCATTGGTATCGGAAAATAATGCAGCATTTGCTGCACATGTGGCAGACCTCAGTAACTTGGGGAAGAAGATAAAGTTTGTCAGAATTCGACGACGTCTGACCCCAGAGCTCCGTCGCATTAAAAATGAATGGTGGACGGAGAAGACGAAGCAGATGGAATGCTACGCCGAACGCCGCCAACACAAGAAATTCTTTGATTCCTTGAAGACGGTCTATGGGCTGAGATTGGAGCCTCTGAGACCGATGCTCGATGCTAGTTGAAGCGCTGCCTACACAGAGACTGCAGACATAATGCAGGTCTGGCGAAAGCACTTTGATTGTCTCTTTAACAACCGTTCAGTGATTGACTGGACTGTGATGCACGGGCTGCAACAACACGATATGAAGATGTGTCTTGCCGATGCACCGACACTGGATGAGTCGCAGAGAGCACTTGCTCAGCTGCGAGACGGCAAGTGTGCCGAGGGGATCCCAACTGAATTATTGAAACACGGTCGATCCGCGTTGGTGATTGCGCTGCACCACTTCGTGCAACGCGTGTCGATTGAGGAGGAGGTGCAGCCTGAGCTGAAGGATGCCCTTGTGTTTCCACTGTACAAGGACAAAGGGACCAAGCAATGTTGCACGGATTATCGTGGCATCAACTTGCTGAGTTGTGTGGGCAAGGTGATTTCCTGAATCCTGCTCAACTGCCTCGTCAATCAGGTTGTAGGACTGAAGGTGGCGGCAGAGTAATGTGGATTCCGTTCGGGTCGCAGCACCATCGATCTGGTGTTTGCGGCTCTTCAGTTGCAGGAGAAGTACAGTGAACGGTCCCAGCCATTGCACTCGCTGTTTGTTGACTTCACTAATTCATTTGATACGGTGAACCGCAAGGCATTGTGGTTAGCGTTGGGTATGTTTGGTTGTCCGCGTAAGTTTGTAAGTTTGATTGAATTTCTGTACATTCGTACGCGGTGAAGTTACAGCGGAGTGAAAAGCTCTTGCATGACTTTGCAGTTGTCTCTGGTATAAAACAAGGCTGTGTCTTAGCTTCCGACCTGTTTAATATTTACCTTCATGCATTGATGTTGTGTGCTTTTGATGCGGCTTGTGCTTACGGTGTTCCTGTGAAGTACCGTGTTGATAGTGGGTTGCTGAACATATGTCGTTTCGGTGCGAGAACCCTAGTCTGTGAGACAACTATCCGTATGTTGCTGTTTGCTGACGACTGTGCTTTGTTTACGCACAGCGCGGGTGAGTTGCAGCATATGACTAGTGGTCTGACTTCGACAGCGGCCAACTTCGGGCTCATCACCAACACAAGCAAAGCTGTTTGTCTTTTCTAGCCTTGATCCGGAATGGAATCTGTGGGCTTGCCCCAAATCCAGGTTGCCGACGAATTGTTGGAAACCACTCCGAGATCTCGCTGCCTTAAAAGCGTAATAGCAACCAATGTACAGATGACGAGCGAGCTACGCAGCCGCGTATCGAAGGCGGCTGCTGCTTTTGGCAAGCTGTAATGCCGTGTGTGGAACCATCACATCTCACTGTCGGGGCATAGTTGCTGGAATACAAGTCTATGGTGCTGTCCGTTCTTCTATACTGCAGCGAAACCTGTACCCTTTATCGGAAGGATGTCCTTTATCTGCAGTGCTTCTATCAACAGCATCTGTGTCGTATTATGCGCATCGACTGGCGTAACCGTTTTACAAACACAGGTGGGCTCCGACGCGGTGGCATGTGTGCATTGGACTGCATACTTCTGATGAGGCACTGAGGTGGCTCGGGCATATTCGCCACATACATTCGACCAGGATACCGAAACAGCGGCTTTATGGCCAATCGTGTGCAGGGATGCGGTCCGTGGGAAAACTGAGGTTACGCTACCAGGACATGATCAATGCGAGCATATCACGTCCTAAAATTAATTCCAGGTGTTGGGAATCGAAAGTGGTTGATCGGCTTGTATGGCAAGAATATATCAAGAGGGCGGTTGCACAGGTGTAAGAGAATTCATTACAGCTTGCGGAAAGTAAACGCCGCTTGAGAAAGCGGCAGGCGTCGATGGTGGACAGCCCAGTGACGTCGGGCGCATTGTGCTGTAATGCATGCGGTCGTGAGTGCCTCAGCCAAGGGGTTTGGTAAGCAACCAGCGCTGCCACGTTGGACCAACATTTAAAAGGAGTGTGCTAAATGTGTGGTCATCGTCAGTGCGGCGCTTGGTAATTTTGTTGCTTCCGATAGCATTTACCAACCCAGGTCAATAAGGCGGCCGATGTGGTATTTGTGCCGCATCGTCGTTGCGCCTGCGTTTTGATTTTCTTACATTTCAGGTGTTGCCTGTTGATTGATATCCCCGGTATGACTGCACCTGCTGTGAATGTTGATAACGTGCCCACCCGTCTATTACCTTCCACCTTGCCTATACTGGCTCCAGGAGACAGTTGGTCGTTGCTGGAGAGGACGGGATGCACCGTCCTCGTGACAGTGTTAGGCTCAGAGAGTGGTTCCATGCATTCTGTGTGGAACGGCTAGGGCCCAGCCACTGCCTTGTACACGGCTGGTACGCATCATTTTCCAACTAGATCGGAATGCTTCTATTCTGCTTGTTGTAGGAGTGTGGGCCGGCTCCGTTCCTGAAACATGGCTCCGATCCATGTGCCTCCCAGTATTACGCCTTCGGGTTTACACCGAATATGGGATATGTGGGTGGAATCGAGTTGTGCAGCGCAAGCCACCCATGCCCCCTCTGTAAGCGCAGACATCCTGTGCCTATCTCCTTGGGACCACAGTGACAGGCAAATCCGGACACGGATGCTGCCAATTCATATATATATGAGTCTGTAAATAGTCATTGAGCCATCGCAAAACCATGAGGAACAAAATATAAAAGTCCAGGTGTGTTGATCAGAGAACACATATTTTTGTTACTTGGTTTTTGTTATTTTTGGTTTGTCTTCACGCCTTTTTTTCTTTGTTGGCGTTTTGAATGGTATAGCTCTAATCACATTGTTCGAAACATTTCAATATACAGTCCATCCATTGATTCCGGTTTCGCGCTATCTCCCCATAGCCCTTGGCTTGTAGCCTAGAACTAACGAGCTTATCTCGTAATCTTGCGGTGCGGGTTCGAATCCGCGTAGGGGTGGGCCTCCTCGAGGTATACTCAGCCCGCGTGCGACTGTTGGTGGTTGCACGACAGCGAAGCGCCGTTAGGGCGTACAGCTGACACATTATTTCAGTATTGTTATTGTTCTAACCATTGGCAGTCCTCACCCTTGGACCCCCAACCAGGAAGACGTATAGGGCCGACGATAGCGCGACAGGAGGTCAGCGATTTCATGCTTTGCCGCCAAGTGGTTGGCTGACGTCCACTCGTTCTCGTCCATTTCATTCCCGTTAGAGAAATGAGGCGCGGCGTTGGAAGTGCTCGCATGATATACATAGAACGTGACCAAGCAACCTCAATTAACGCTTTGTGACAAGGTGATCAAGCAAGAGGCTCATGTTTCCTAAGACGCGACGTCGGACTTCATCGTTGCGA